CCAAACAAGTTCAAGACCTGTGTCTCTACTCTGCCTCTTCATTCTTGATCTACCTCCGTCAATACCACGCCAAACACCACTATCAGCCAAGAACAACCACCACAACTATCGACCTTCAACTACCATCGACGAACACAACCACTGAACAATTATTACATGGTGTTGATTTGTGGATCTGAATCTAGATCCCCACACCACAATCATCGACTTTCTCTTTATTTTTCTGATTTAGGTTTTCACATGGTATAGTTGCAACCTGATTTTCATGGGACAGCATGGTGAGGGTTGTGGACTTCTTTGCCTCCGGTAATCAAATTCACCACCAAGCACCTTTTTTTTTTTTATTTTTTTTTTATTTTTCCAAGAATCAATCTCGGCTCTCTTCTACTCTTCTTTCCGCCATCAAAATATTGTGCTTTTGTTACTCAAAATCTTAGGTCTACGTTGTATCTGTTTTAAAAGCAGTTTTTGTTCCAAAATCACACAATCTAAGATGGTTCATTTAGGCCCGTGTTACTCAAAATCTATTAAAAGTAAGTAAATCAAGCTTGAACTTGCATTTTCCTGAACCTGAAAGTGGTTGGGATCCTGTTTCTGTATCTACTTGGAAGATAAAACGATTAATAGGAAACAAAAAAAAAAAAAGAATTATTGAAATGGTTTCATACTTTGTTATACTTATGGTTGTCTATTTCAGTAACAATGTTTATAGCATTTCAAATTATAAGTTTAAATTGGTGTTGTGATTAGCTTTAGCCATAGTTATTCCAATTAGTTGTACTCTTCTTTACATACTCAAAATTAGTTATTCCAATTAGTTGTACTCTTCTTTACATACCCGAAAACTCACCAGGAAAAATGAATAGAGAAATAATATGTTGAATCGACCTTGTTTATTTTCTTTTTGTGCATGCAGCCTGCCTCCATCAGCTCGCATATTTACTTACGGGGTGTGGTTCTTTTGAATACATCGATTAATCTCTATAAGCTCTCGTGCAATTAATCTATGGGTCAAAAATGTTGTTTACAGACCAACATTAGCATTGGCTTTTTGACCATAGATCCCATCATATGCGGTCATTTGGAGATACTAGGGGTGAACATCTAAACTTTGTCCCTAGGTGTGAATTGCTACAGAACCGAAAATTTGAGACCGAAACCTATATAAATAGGATTGGTTCCCTTTCTCAAATATTAAAAATATTTGGCATGGAGGTAGTTAAATGAAGCTTTGGTGGAAGTGGAGTGG